GACTGCCTAATATAGAAAGAAGAACTTTATATCATGGCATCATGGCATTGTTACAACCAGGGATGGGCAGTATGTGAAATACAAGTATTGGAAATACGTATTTCAAATACTTTTTGTATTTTGCATCTGTATTTAATTACAAATTGGGTAATGTATTTGACGTGTGTATTTAAGTACTAATACGCGGGTATTTCAAATACAATTGTAAATAAATACAATTTTGTGGGTGAAAATACATCTTGTTTTTATGCATGTGGTTGTAAGATATAGTCTCTATCCTTTATTCGGTCATGGGGCTTTTTTTCCCCTCCGGCTTTATTTTAAAGGCACTGTCCAGAGCAGGAAGAAAACTACGTTCTGCACCGAATGCAGTGCCTCCCAATCAAGCACAAGCGTTTAGTGACTGTGTGATTACGGTGCTATACTCTGTTTCACCTTATGATGTACCGCAGGAAAGGCTACAAGCGCGATCTCCTTGCTCTAGGGCACATCTCGGCGGCACAAGCTCTCGTGCGTTAAGAGTAGCTGTCAACGCTATGAGCTCGCGCTTCTAGTCTTGTCTGCGGTAGAACATGAGGTGAAACGGAGTATAGTCCAGGGCAAGAATAGTGACGAAATCGACGTTCAGAGGGAGACTGGCTAAATAAGTGCATGTGAGAACTTGTGATGCTTTGTAGCCTGATTTCCATCCATATTTTTGCCTAGAACATTCTGAATGCGCGGGTCGTCCTGATTTTTGTAAGTGGTGCGAGTTGCAACAATAAAAAAGTCTCTAGCTACTGCTGCGAGTCTTGGTCGTCTCGGTTTTTTGTTGGTCTATACCAAAATGTAATCGACAAAAAAAGCTGCTTGAAGCTCTGTACTTTTTTCACTGATTACATTTGTTGTGATTATATTTCTATTACGCTACTAGAGCCTCGCACACTAACTCCCGAGTGTGCGATGCAAAATTAAAATGAGATACCCAGAAACCCGTTGCAGGTGCCCTGAGGTCGCTGACGCAAATTTTGAAGAATGTATTTGGAAAAGTATTTGGAGGGGACCAAATACATTTGGTTGTATTTGTATCTTGCATCTAAAAGTTTTTTTTTTTTTTGGAAATGCAATTAGATTTGTAATTAAATACATTTTTGACGAAGTATTTTGTATTTGTATTTCGATACATATTTGCATGTATTTTGCCCATCTCTGGTTACAACACAGCCCAAAACGTTGTGAGATATGAGACGCGTTTCCGATTAAGGAAATATTGTATTTACATGAATGTGTTTGCAAAAACAAAACTGTGTTGTAAACTAGGGACATATGCACGATGCTTCGAGGCCACCAACGGTGCTTGCGAGGCCCGCTATCCCAGAGTGCGGAGCGGACCTCCTTAAGGCCGGTTCAGACACTTGCGTTTGAGTGCGTTTGACTGCCTTGCGTCGAGAACCGAAAGCGAGTCACCGGCACATCTGTGCTTCGTATGAAGCGTGGACTCCAATTCAAGGAATCATCTTGGCACGCGATATAAGCCCCCGCAGGGGGCACCTGTGAAGGCAGGTGTTTGGAGAGTGGCGTCTCAAACGGACCCCGAGCCATGCGGGTTCGCCCGCCCACGTCTGGCTGTGCGTGGCTTTCCCGTGTCTGGGGAAAAGGGCATCCTGGTGGTTGAGCCAAGCCCGGGGTAGGTTTGGACCCTTCGGGGCCCCCCGGGCGAGGCAATACACCACTTTGGTCCCCGCTCCTCATAGACGGGAGTCCTGGTAAGGCCCTACCAGGATGATTCAGTCTAGTCGCCACATCTTCTACTATCCCCTCCCTTCTTTCACACTTGTCTTCTCCTTCTTTTCACTCTTCTCATTTCTCTTCTTTCCTTCCTCAACTTCTTTGGCGGCAAGGGCTAACCTTGGGTGGCGACAGACCCCTTGTCCAGAACCACACTCGGTTATAGTTCCTGGGCAGTGCTAATAGCATAACGTCTCCAGCAAAGCTCTTTTTGTTATGGTGCGTTATCTATTCCCATGTTGGGCTCCGTGGTGGGCGGCACACCACAGGTTCCGAAAAACCTTCGCCTCTTATGGCAAACCCTCAAACCAAAACCCCCAGTTCTGGACGTGCCGCTAAGAGGCATCGTCCCGAACGAACAGTCATAGTAAAAGATAGAGAAGATGAAACATTTTCCAGATTTATGGTGATCAACTCCGAGGTCCCTGACAAACCTCTCTCTAAGATGTCACCGTTTCTTGTAGCGAAGGTTCTCGACAGTCAGATTGGTGCTGATTACAAGGCAAAGAAACTCCATTCTGGTGATCTGCTTGTAGAAGTTACCAAAAAGTCCCAGAGCATAACGCTTCTAAAATTGACATCCCTAGGTGACATACAGGTAACAGTGAGCACACATAGAACCCTCAACACCATTCGAGGGGTGATTTCAGAAGATCTTGTTTCCAGTAGTGAAGATGAGATCTTTAAAGGCCTGCGGGCATCTAGAGTAGTGGCGGTCAAACGCATTATGACGAAGCGTGACGGTGTAGAGGTGAGAACTAAACACCTTATCCTGACGTTTGAACGTCACACACTTCCTGCACTCGTCAAAGCTGGCTACCTGAATTGTCGTGTCAGACCGTACGTCCCGAACCCACAGCGATGTTTCCGTTGCCAGCGTTTTGGTCACGGGGCGCGCAGCTGTCGAGGGAGGGAGACGTGTGCAAAGTGTGGGAGCTACGACCATGTGGCCGACGTCTGTGAAGGTTCGGTTGCATGCGCGAACTGCAAGGGTCCTCACACTGCTTACTCTCGGTCCTGCCCGCTGTGGCGACAAGAAAAGGAGATCCTTACCTTACGAGCCAAAGAGAACTTATCGTACCCTGAAGCAAAACAAAGGTTTACCTTCATTTCCAAAGGTACCTACTCCGACGCGGTGCGCAGGGGCCCTGCATCACGTACGGAGTCCAGGGCCACTCAGTTCTCTGTTGAGGACTTGGCAGGCCCCTCTTAGGCCCCGAAACAACCTGCGGGGAAGCAGGGTGCCCCAGGTAACGATGGGAGCACACAGACTCCCCAGTCGATTCAGGCACGATCTCCGGCTGAGCGGCAGACTCCTGCCAGTGGCTCTTCTCAAGATGGAGAGCGAGGCCGTCGTTCCAATCCCTCGGAGGCGGCCCGCCTTGTTACGGAGCAACAGGGCCCACCTGCTGCTCCATCAATGTCAAAAGACGTTGAAAGCGTGAATGTGGGAGGGTCTCGGCCTGGTACGTCGAAGACTTCTTCGGCGGGGTCTGGCCGTGGCCGGAAACTCGTGGTCCAGGTCTCCGACCACGTCGGAACTGGCAAACCTGCGTCCAAGGTTCAGGATGCAGTGGGAGCTGTTGACATTGCCGACTCTTCAGCTCCTTCCTCGGATCAGGAGGACATGGAATGTCAAACTGCTAAATCAAAACAAAAAGGAAAAAAGCCGGTGGTTCCTCCTTAGTGTGTAGCACATGTAGAATTGCTTTAATTCTTTTATGAAATCTTTTATCCTTTAAAATGGGCTCTGTAATTCTTCAGTGGAACTGCCGTGGCTTATTCACTAACCTTGCAGATGTTGAGTTCCTTTTAGAAGAGTATAAGCCTTAAGGCCGGTTCACACATACAGCGGAGCGCTAAGTTAGCGCTACGTGAGCGCTCCAAGGAGCGCTCATGTGGCGGTTCCTAGCGCGTGATGTAGCGCTCGGTTAGCGCTTCAGCAGCGCTCTGTTAGCGCTACAGAAGAGCTCTATTAGCGCTCCAGAAGCGCTCTGTTAGCGCTCCAGAAGCGCTTTGTTAGCGCTCTCACGCTCCTTGTGCCGTGCTTGCTGCTGCGGAACAGCGCGTGCACGGCGATTCCTTTGTTGTTGTTTTTCCTGTGGTGCTGAAAGAAGAGGAAGTAAAAGAGCCGCTCTCCAGGCAAAGGGTCGGGCAGGTGAACCAGAGTCATGGACTTTGAGCGACTAATTGATTCCGTACGACCTCATCGTTTCCTATTCGACATACGTGACCCTGGTTTTAAAGACTCGGAGTTAAAAAATAATAGGTGGGAGCTGATCGGCAAAGAACTAGGGGTATCAGGTAAGGTTTTGATTGAAGCGATATACAGGGTGTCACAAAAGAAAATTTACACGGTCTTTTTTACCGCAAAAAATAAACTAGACATCGCCGAACGTTCATTATCCGCCCAAAGGTAGCGCTAGAGGTCACAACCACATGCTAAAGTTTCAGCCCGATCCGATAACTTAATCAAAAGTTATAACTGATTTTCTGAAAATTTCAATGGGAAAATGGCGGCCGACGGTGTTTTCGAACACATGGGGCTCTATGGCACCAGAAACCGAAAACGGGCAAAAATGGGCCCCATTTTCCCATTGAAATTTTCAGAAAATCACTTATAACTTTTGATTAGGTTATCGGATCGGGCTGAAACTTTAGCATCTGGTTGTGACCTCTAGCTCTATCTTTGGGCGGAGAATGAGCGTTCGGCGATGTCTAGTTTATTTTTGCGGTAAAAAAGACCGTGTAAATTTTCTTTTGTGACACCCTGTACATGCATGGTGTGTGCTCGAAAATAAAAGATAGGGTGAGAAATATAATTGTTCTGGTAATCTTATCTCAGCAATTGAGGCGTCTCAAAAATTTCGAACTATGAAAACAAAATTTGGGAAGTTGAAACGAAAATAAGAGGAAAATACGAGGAGCGGCTCTTCCTACACTCCGCCTCCAGCTTGGAAGCACTATCGATCAATGGATAGCCTGTTGAGAAGCCGGGAAGTACAAACAGAGTGGTAAGTACGGTTCATATACATCGAGTTCAATTTAAACGTGCTCAGAAATGTCTTCATTCTTATTAGGACGCTGTCAAACCTCAGCCCTTCAGCGAGACCTTCTGTCAGCTTGACCGAAGACCACCCTGCTCATGACAGCGTGTCTTCCCTGATTAAGCATCAATTTTAATATTTAGACGTGACACATTTGGTCTCATGCCGCGGGGTACATTGCAGCAACATGACAACTCCCGGTAAGGACAGCGGAGTAGAGGAAACTCTTGCCAAGTAAGTGACTAGCACTGTCGAACTATGCGCCACCACAATAGCGTCTCTGGGTGCTGTGCATTTGGTCTGAAATGCATATATGAAGTACCACATACATCCCAGGCAGCACAGGGTGTTGGGCCAATATTGAAAGAGCATTGGCAAAAAAAGGTCCAATGATGGTCCACTTTAGCCAATCTGCTTCCAATATTGGCTATACCATTATATGGAATCTTCAGTGATGGCCCAGCTTCTCCAATGACCAACCAATATTGGAAGCACATTGGCATAAAATGGGCAATATTGGCCTCTCAGTTCCATTGGCTTGCGAATATTGATTGAACACTGGTATAAAATGGGCCATCTTGGCCTGTAAGTTCCATTGGCTTGCGAATATTGGATGAATACTGGAGTAAACCGGACAATGTTGGCCTGTCAGTTCCATTGGCTTGCAAATATTGGATGAACACTGGTATAAAATGGGCAATCTTGGCCTGTCCGTTCCATTGGCTTGCGAATATTGGACAAATACTTGTGTAAACCGGACAATGTCGGCCTTTGAGTACCGTTGGCTTGCTAACATAGGATGAATACTGGAATAAAATGGTCAACGTTGGTCTGTCCGTGCCGTTGGCATTCCAATATTTGATGGGGACTGGCATAAAATGGACACTGTTGGCTTGGCAATGTTTGATAAACACAAGCTTATAATGGTTACTGTTGTCCTGTTGGTACCATTGGCTCATTGTCATTTCAAGAACACAGTGGCATAGAATGATCGGTGTGTTTTACTCTGACAATACCATTGGCTTAATAGTGGAAGCATGTTTGAATACGCTGGTTTAGGCGCGTTCGTTTCACCTCAACAAGTTGAAATTGCTCGAGCGCTTGTAAATTTTATGTTATTTCTTCAAAACGCGATTCAGGTACTTTTCGGCAAAGTAAACAAGACAATAACAAGGTACAGAACTTAATGGCGAAGATTTGCTCCTTCACTGTGCATATTAAGCAGTCGCCAGCGATATGGGCTCATCAGGACCGCCAACTGGAAAAAAAAAGAAAGAAAAACGATGTCCGGGTGATAGAGTCAACATAATAGATTATCATGTTGACTCTATGATCTTGACAGCCACAATAAGAGCCCGAATGCCTCCTACATGGCGCCAAGGCACTGATAGCAGACGACAATGTTGGTCTTGATTTAGAGTCTAGCCGGATTGTCTAGCCGGATGTTGGTCTTGATTTAGAGTCTAGCCCCTTTTTTTCCGCATTTAATTTATCATTGTCTCTTCTTAATTTTGACATTAGGCTTCGAGCTGATTTCGGAGCTTCGTGTCTGTCAGTCCCGTTTCGTCCTCTTGCTGTAGGGTTATCATGTCTAAGCAATCTCTACTACCTTGGTTTTTGGAAACCCGAATAGCAAATAACAGCAGAAACAAACGAAAGAATACACCTTTTTCCGCAGAAGTGGCGCTACCTGTTGGGAGACGTCTGAACTAGCGAAAACTGGGTTCGAGGCGTTCTTCGTATGAAAACACGCCCGCCATTAGGCTTGAATTGTACACGTTGCGAGGTCCACTGTTCTTGCACGCCACTTTTCCGCCTAGTATTCGTAGCTCGGCTACCTTTCGGCAACTGTTGAGGATGGCCGAGGACGGCAGCATCCCGTTCCCGTTCCCACCCGACGGCTGGACTGAGAACGCTCCGCCGTTCGCCAACCTCTCGCAAGATGAAGTGTGGCGGTACCTTCACCGCAAGACGGACTCGCTCCGACAAGCTCACCGGGGATGGGCCTTCAAAGAAGAAGGCTACGTCCGGAACGTCCGATGGAACACATCGGACGATTCCCGGATCGGTCTCGTCCGGGGCGTCTGCCTGCCGTCAATGAAGAAGGCGCCGTACACAGTCTCGGCGTGGTTCGCCAGAGGCACCGGGAGCGTCATCGGCGGCACTTGCAGCTGTGTTGCTGGGTGAGCGATATTTTGCTTATACATGCGTTAAAAGTCATGCGCAAACCTATTATAAGCAAGGCTAATTGCGTTCCGCTCACGCTATCCCCAACGCGTAAGCAGCGAGATCGGCCACTCCTTGAAACCTGGGAAGCGATACCCGGTTCGCCCAGGCTCATTTCATCGAATACACGCGAGTTACATTGGCCAAGACAAACCCCATCGTGCTATGCTCCGTTTCACCTTATGTTGTACCGCAGCGACGGCTAGAAGCGCGAGCTCATAGCGTTGGCAGTTGCCCTCGGTGCACGGGAGCTTGTGCCGCCGAGATGTGCCATAGAGCAAGGAGCTCGCGCGTATAGCCTTTCCTGCGGTACAACACAAGGTGAAAAAGAGTATAGCAGCAAACTCATGTGGTTTATCGCTCATGCTCGCAGTGCTTGCTCCTTGGCTTAGGTAGTGTAAAAGATGCATGTCTCCATCATGCACCGACAGCCTGTGTACAACGAAGGCAACCAAGAGCTGCTACGCGTGCAGCTATAATCCCGCTAATTTGGTCTTGGTTGACTGCCTCGATTTTCTAGGAAAAGCCAGTCCTGCCAACATATTGCAGCACTGCTGCTCTATGCCGAAGAGAGCTGCAACGCCTGCTCGACGAGCTGCACCGACATACCCTGCACCTGGATTGTGCCTGCTGAAGGTGTGTACACTACGGCCCTTAAAGGGGTACTCCACAGGTTTTTTCATTGTCTCCGATTTGCTTGAAATTTTGCTAAACTAACCAACAAACATCGCGAAAATAGTATCCCAAATATTAGGTCAAAATGTTGTTTTTTCGCGAAGTTATTGAATTTACAGTTTTGGTACTCACCGTGTTTTTCAAGCTCGAAGTCTCTACTGGCAACAATGAAAAAGTGACGTCAGTGGAAGGCAGGGGTTCACTCATTGGGCTGTAGATTTTGTTTTAAACTGATTCGAAGCAGTTTCATGGTGTCAAATGAATGCTTGGGAAGCTCGCTGCAGTACCCGCGCTCCAGCACGGAACAAATGATTGGCATATTCTATTCTTTAGACTGCTTGCTCGACTGGCAAGTCTGCCTGCCACTGACGTCACGGCACTGAAAAGTGCGCGTATATTTGAATGTTGGTTTTTGCACCATTTTCATTTGCCGATTTCACAATACCTATTATGAATTTCGCGATTCTAAATAGCATACCGGAGAGGGTAAAGGCCGGGGAGTCAGAAAATATAGTTAGGTGAAGTAGCTAAAAAAATCGGTGGAGTACCCCTTTAAAGAGGCTCCATAGGAATCTTTTGCTCAGAAATATGTTATTACTTCTTACCTAATATATTGGAGAATAAGACCAACGTCCAAGCTGTCTTAATTATTTAGCCAAGCTCACCTCCATTGCTAGATAAATGTGGAACCAAACAGCCAATGCTTTTTGTGTTCGTTTTCATGAAAGTGAAACTCTACATTTTCTACATAAAGCAGCTTGGATGATAAGCTATTAACATGATTACAAGATGGAAAACCTAGATGTGGCTTATTTTAGAACTGAACTGACAAAATTTCTCTTTGCAGCCAAGAAGCCTGCTCCCCTGGTGCCACTTGCAGACATCACGTTCCACAAGTACCTGATCAACAGGCCGGTGAAGCAGAAGAAACGACGCTCTTTTGACCCTTGTGAGAATGTTGGTGTTGCTTCGGCTGAGGAGATTCAGCAACTGCGAGATGCCCTCAGTGTGTCTACACCGGGCCTCCAGTGGCTTCTGTACAGTGGTGTACAGCAACTTGGACCAGCGGCACCAGTGCTCCCCATCCAAGATGATGAAGATTTGTGGAGTGAGAATGCCCGGGACGTTGTTGCAAAACACATGGAGTCCCTTCCAACATTGACGGAGGAAGAGAGGGAACAAGTGACCCGGTCCACCATCGGTCAAGCCAATAATCCAAGGTGGCACAAAGAGCGGCAGGGCAGGATTACGGCATCAGTCTTCTCTGCTGTCATCAAGTGTGTCAAGCCCGAGTACCTGGTCAAGGGTATTTTGTACCCGAGCCCAGATGCCTCAAGTGAGGCCATGCGCTATGGGAGGACGCACGAGGGTACCGCAGTCTCAGCCTATGCATCACTCATGGCAGCATTCGACACTCCCGTCGAGATCCGCGAGACTGGGCTGCACATTCACCCAGAGTGCAGCTTCATTGCAGCATCGCCCGACCGCATCGTGAGGAAGGACAACGAAGAGGGCCTTTTGGAGGTGAAGTGTCCGGCTTCGAAGATTGGGCTAACACCAATGGAGGCATGCAAGGACAAGAAGTTCTGCTGCGAAGTTGTGGATGGCGTGGTACGACTGAAGAAGACTCACGCCTACTTCTACCAGGTGCAAGGGCAGATGGCAGTGACCGGACACCAGTGGTGCGATTTTGTTTTTTGGACTAACAACACGACTGTTGCCAATTCGACGCACGTCGAGACCATCGCCTTCGACAAGAAGTTCGTTGATGGAGCACTGCTGCCAGGGCTTATCTACTTCGCCAAGCATGCCCTCTTCCCAGAAGTGGTAACGGGCCGTGTGAGGCGTCGAAGAGCCCTGAAGCTCGCGGCCAGCACGTCTCCTTCAAGAAGTTCTGCAAAGGGTTTTATGTGGTGGAGGACGGTCCCGGACTGAAAAAGAAGCTGCGTAGGCTGGAGTGAAGGAGCGCCTGCATGAAGCCCGAGGCTTCTCCAAGTCACAACGGCTCTTTTCAGAGCCAAATAAATATGCTTGTCAGGGGCAGTGCTTTTGTAGCCACTCCCGTGTCTTTGAGAATGGTGTTTACTGCAGAAAAACAGGACACAGGGTGTGGTGGTTTACATTTTTACAGTTTATTACAATAAATAGAAAACCATTTGCCTATAAACAAGCAGAGGTCGCTCCAGAAGCGATGAACGCGCGCATCCTTTTTACGAGACGCAAGTCTTTTTTCTTGTCTTGTTCAGACGGCGAATTCAAAACGCGAGTAAAATTCCACAGCGTGAACGCGCCTTTATGACCATCGTCACTTCGTACCTTCAGTGGACCCGCGA